CCTCCATGGTATATGAAATAACTCAAAGGAGTTGCTGTGGCCTGTTGATCAAATCTATACTGGAAGGACCTCAGGAAAGCTGCTAGATCTATTGCTCTAAAGCCTGTCTAGGTACAGCAGGTTTTGTTACCAACATGGTTACACCAGCTTTCTGTGACTTGAAGCAACACGTTTTCATATTCGTGAGTGGAAGTGAAATGTATTTTCAGATTGCTCAAATACTTTTATCCATTTTCTCTTTAAGTTTATTGTGTCACTTAGAAAGCAAAAGCAAATGTTTAAAGACATGTAGTTTGTAATGTGCCAGCTGAGAAAAAGGGATGGAAGATGAAGCAGGTACACCTGCAGCCATGCTTCTCCTTTTTTCCCCTTGGTCCACAGAAAGTGTGCTGGTTCAGGAAAGAAAAATGCAGGTATTAAAGCCTAACTGTATTTGAAGGGAATCTTGTTCTGCACACGTCTGGTCTGGTGTTTGTTGTTGCTGGCAAACGTGTGCTCTGACAGTTTGGGAACTTCTGTTGTGAGGACTTGCGCCATCCATTCACTCTGGGAGTGAAAAGGCTGGAGATCTGGTTTGGCTCTGTCCCGAGTCTGCTGGGTGTGTTTTGAGAACTCTGGTATCCATTTGAATTTCAGCCACTCTGTGTATGTGTCCAAGGATTTATGCCTTTTCCTGGCGCTGCGTCCCATGACTTCAGGAATTTACCAGCCAGTGTGAAGATTGTTTTAATGAAAATCTCTTTCAAAATTTGGTTTCCACTACAGGGGCCCTACTTCCAGCTCTGTTGATTCCAACTGACTCTAGCAGGAGTCAAAGGGAATAGTACTTTAGAGAGACAGCTTTAACAAGTAATTCAAAGGCGGTGAAGACAAACAAGAAATAATCTGCCTTCAATGAACTTTACATCACATTTTCAGGAAGGTGTAATCCCACATATTCTCTTGGTAGGAAAATCTTCCTGCACTGACCTGGAAACTCTGCATGTGCCTCATTTTTATTGGACTTGTATCCAGCCAGCTGTTCCATCGAGATTCTTATTTTCTTCTGAGGACCTGGTTGGCTTTTGTATTTATGAAGTTAACGGTTATACAGCAACAGACTTGAGGGTCTTGAGGTGAAATTTCAGTGTGCTTCATCTCCTTTGGAACTGTCAGCATCAAGGTGCAGTCTCAAGGCACTTGCATGCAGCTTGGTATCTTCATTCCTGCATTACGGGTAGGAAACTGGATGCACAGGGCAAAACGTTTTGCTTGGGAAGCAGAACAAAATCTCACCCACCCAGCCTAGTGCTGTACCCATGGGGGCTGTGGGGAGGCTTGCAAGCACCTGATAGACACTTTGAGAGGCATCAGGAGGGCAGAGGTGAATGTGGGCTGGCCAGGTTTGCCTCTAACCCATGCCAGCCATGGCCGTAAGAGAGCTCATGGACCTGTTTGTACAGCATTACATTTTTTGGTGTTTTTTTGACTAAATAGAATTTGACTCTAGGAAAAAAGCAAACCTTTCAAAGCTCCGAAGTGGCCAGAAGGATTCATTCTTCTGACAAGTAACTTTAACAACATGTCTTCAATGGAGTCCATGTGTCCGCTTTCAGACAATTTCTACTGGAAATGCCTTCACAAGTAGACGCATTGCTGTAAATAATCAGATTTCAAACACTACAACTCCAAGTCATTTTGAATATAGTCCTGGAGTTGGAATAACAAACATACATAAAGCTGGCTGCCCTAATGCAGAAAAAGGAACTGTAAGGCAAAATCCAAACCAGGAAATGCTGCCAACTTAAGGCAAAGTAAACTGAGAGCAATAAATCAAACTGAAAGACATATTTTATTGTGGACTGAACAATACAGGGCCTGACGTTTCCACAGGCAAGGCACAAATATCCTTTTACTATCAAAACCAAAAGCTTTTAGAGCTTCAAAAGGAGCTGCAGGCAAAGGAGCAAATAAATGACAGGCTGAGCTGGTCTGATGGGGCTTTGTGGGTTGTGTTATAGAGGTCTTAGAAGATTCACAGATGTCTGCTTGCCCTCCAAGCGTCACTGCTGACCATGTCATCCCCAGCTGCTAACGCTTGCAGCAATTTTGGGCAGGTGAACTAAAACAGCTTAACAAGTTAGCTCCCTTCAGCTGAGCTGCTGTGAGCATCTGTGATGTGAGCCCATCTCCATTGCAAGGCAAAATGTATCAGCTTGCATTTCGTTTGCTGAAGATGCTAAAATCAACCTTCCGATAAAGATTTAAGCCAACATTTTGAGCTTGTGGTGGGGACTTCTGGCAGAGACAGCTCAGCTGAGAGGAGATACCTCCTTGAGCTCTTCTGGCTTGGTTGCAGTTAACAATGAGCTCGTGTCCAGGCTGTTGCTGTGAGGCCTAATTCTCTACCTGCTGTAAAAGCGAGTGGGACACTGAACCCAGTGGATGAGTCGCATTTTGCTTTTTAACTTTACTTTACTTTGTCGTTCAATGTGTCAGCTCTTCTGGAACCTTACACGTGGAGTAAATATCCCCTGACTGCTGCAGAGCCAGAGTTTTCCCAACCAAAGGCAGACAGCTTTCCGGAAATGGGAATAAAAGATCCTATCTGCTGTCCTCTTCTCTATGGAGGAAGAGCAGAGAGGGCATTACAGTGTGCTGTGTTCACACCTGAGCAGCCTGGGCATCTTGTCATCCTTTTGGAACATACTTCAGAGTTCCTCATGGCGGTACTCAAGTCTTAAGAGTTCCCTTTGCACCCCAGGTTGCAAAGCAAGCATGTGCTGGAGCCTGGAAGGCGACTGCAGCCTGCAGAGGCCTGTGGCCGCCTTTCCTGTGCCTTGTCTCTGTAAGGGCTCGTCCGCAGACTGCTGTGGGTGACATTTGGCCCACACAGGAAGATAAGATTAAGACTGAAAGGAACTTCCTAAGTCATCAAGTCCTGTCCCCCGCTGTTGAAGGCAACCACATCATATGATGTCTTTCGAACACTTATCTAGTTCCATCTTGAAACCATTTCGGTTTCTTGCCCTCACTACTCCTACTGAGAGGCTGTCTTTCTTCTCGTGGTTATAAACCTTCTTCTAATTTCCAGCTTAAATATGTCCAGGGCAGTTTAGGCTGTGTTTAATAGATACTAAGAAAATAAATTAGTCACCAGCTTTTATTTATGTGCATCAAGCTTTTGATACGCATGTATATAAGGCCCCTCTGCTGCCGTGTGTATGCTGTGCTCATGGGGAGATATCTGGATGAGGGGGAAGGGGGCCAGCACTGCTGGGTGCCCCGGTTCGGGGAGGAGGGGATGACCTGGGCAGTCAAGGGAAAACAGGGGGCAAAGGGGAGCAAGCGGAGAAGGAAAGTGAGGAAGAGGAAAGGAGAAGACAGCTGAGGCAGGGCAGGGGTCAGGAACAAGGTGTGAGAGGCAGCGAGGCCTGATAACGAGGAGCGGAGAAATTCTGAAACGGAACGTGGGGGGGGGGAAAGGCGCTTTTAAGAAAAGCAAATAATGATGCAGATAAAACATAAGGAAACAATATTAAGGCAACAGGCAAGCAGATAAGGAATGTAAGGCAAAAGGGGAAGATTCACAGAGAGTTCAGAGCAATGAAAAAAGAAACCAATTCAGAGATGAAACCCAAAACTATTTCAAGTATGGGGTATCCCACTTGTTGGGTCAGACTCCAGTTCTGACACACAGGCTGGCTGGGCCTAAGCTCTTCTCCCAGCTGCAGGTCCTACAAAAGGGAAGCACAGGCTTCGTCTTTGAGAAAGACATGACTGTAGAGAGGCAAATCTGTGTTTTCTGAGAATATTCACATATTATTTCTGAGGAGGGTGGGGACTTGAAGAGGGAATGAAAGGTACAAAGGTGTTAGCTGATGTTTGCTGGTACTCAGCAAAGCTCCTCTCTCTGCTGGTCTGTGTGAAGTTGCATTGTTAATACAGCAACTAAAGAGTACTAAAGGAGAAGCCGTTCCCCTTCATCAAAACACAGTTTAAATAGCAAAAGACAATTCCTAACAGAGTGGGTAATTTTAAAAAGGGATGGGGCTTTTCCCCTCCCTGAGGCTAGCACACTATGGCACTGTTGTGTAAAAAGACTTGCGGATGAAGTGAGAAAAACATGGGTCTATGGGCATATGCATAGGGGATAGCAGAGACCTTTGTACTGAGCTAGCTTTAAAGATCCTGCAAAGAGCAGAATTTACTCATAGCTCATGGCAAATGTTATCCTGCAAGTTAGCAGAAAGCTGTATCTGGGAGGTGGGGGAGGTAGCTGTAAGATGAGGTTATTCTGCTCTGTAAGGCTGTGTTAATAGCCGTTAAGGATCCTGTCATGTTGTAATTACTTTATGCACAGTGAATACTTGCACAGAGGCCTAACAGGCTCCTGCAGCCTGTACTGTGTAGGGACAGAGGCAGCACTGGAGGCACAGACATCAGCCACATCTGAGGCTCTAAATGTTTAACCGTGTGCTTTGCTTTGAGAAGTCCTGGGGACAAGGCAGGTGCTTATGTGCAGCATATGTGCAGATGGCTTTGCAGAGTCAAGACCACTGTGCGTATTCTGCATGTGGTGCTGATGTGATGTGAAGTCATGGGAATACGACCAGTGACCAGAGTGAGGATTGCTCCAGCTCTGGACTTGTTGATACTCATAAACACTAAATGGAATTTTGGTCATCAACGGGATATAACATTGGCTCTCCTGTCAGTTCTCTTTTCCTTAAAATACGACTTTAGAAACTTCTTTTTCTTTACCTTATGCTGGTACTCAGTGAGATGGGACCTTTTCTGATACAGATTCCTGTATTTCAATATCAAAACTTGAAATGCATTCCTCTCAAGCTAAACAGAAGCAAAGCCTTTATGTGTTTTAGATGAGACTGGTGGGTTTGAGTCCAGTCCCAACCTGCAAATGAGGCAGGATTTATTCAAGAGCATTAAGCTTGTATTACTGTGTATTTTTTAGAGGACTGTAAGTTGTTCCTTTATTTTTTCTTTCTCTCCTCAGATGCACATATATGAAATGGGTGTTTTCTGTCCTTATAGCAAGAGTGCTAGTTTCCATCAAGCCAATTAATGAATGGGAGGCGATGTTCAGTGTGAATACCAGGGGCTGCTATCTAATCGGAGAAGAGCTGGGGGCATTGCCTGCATCTTAGTACAAGTCGTCAGGTGGCATATTCACCAAGGAGTCTGCCAGCAGTTTGATTGACTTCATTACAGTTTATCATTATGTCTGCCTCCTTTTTTTTATTTCTACATTTAATCACCTAATATCATTTTTATCAGCTTGTCAGGGCGTGGGAGAGAGTGGTGGGGAATTTGTTCCACTTCCTCATAGTACATGTCTGTTTTGGTAAAACATTATGGCAAGTTTATGACTGTCCTACTTTAAAAAATAAGATCCAAGTGAACTATTTAAGCCTGTGAGTAACAAAACATCTAATTAGCATTAACTCTTAGCTGTAAAACTATCATAGGTTCTTCATTGCAAGATACATTTCTGTATCATTTGAGACACATAATGAACCAGTAACTGGTAGCCAGGTGGTTGGTTAAAAACTGCACCTTCCCAGCTCAAAACTTGCTTTTGATTGAATCATGTTATTGTCCCTATGATAAGACCTATCACATACTATTGGAGAACTGATTCCCAGTTCTAAGAGTATCTTCTTCTTCATTTAATAAGGCACCAAGCCAAACCACTCTTCATGCCTCTATAGCTTGGCCACCAGAAAAGAAGATGACTTCCCTATGTGCCATATGTGTATTCTGGATGTGGAAATGTGTTGCAGTTTCGGTGGAGAGCCAACAGTTGGTTAACTCGTATAAGATTTTAAGACAGCAGTTAATAGCGAGGTTGGAAACTGAAATTCTAGCTATTTAACATTTGCTGTGTATGCCATGCCTGGTTTTAGATGCTGTTCTTGCAGGGAAAGTGCATTCTTGCACGGACATCAATCTAGAAATAGCTGTTGTAAAAAAAACCAACCCCGACATAAAAAAAAAATCCTGTAGGCTTCCAAGATACCCTTGCGTCCAGATATACTGTAACAGTGTGAATTTAGGATGATGCCATGCGTGCAGTGGTGTTCATCTTTTGGTTCAGAAAATGGCTAGTTCAGCCCATACAAAGGTGGTATGAAACAGTCATCACATCTCCTTGTTTGAGAAACTGCTTCTCAACAGTGACCCAAGTTTCACTGGAGGTTACTGTCTGAGAATAGATGGTATAAATCACACTTTCCCCACCTCCTCCTCTGCCAGCTCTCCTGTCTAGTGCCTGCATTCAGAAAATTGCCTCCATCCCAGAAGGTCAAGACAAGTGCTACCAGTGATGAGATCCTCTTCTATGGCATCTTCAGTACAGGTCCCCAGGGGACTGGACCTCTGCTGATTGTTCTCCAGATTACTGCATTTCTCTAACAGGCTTTAGTGTCTCAAAAATTCACTCCATTCCTGACCTTCTCAGATCTCTCAGCTGGCAGTTTTCCACAATGCCATCAAACTGGATGCTGTAACCTTTTAAAAAATGTTAACGGAGGTTAAAATCACAGATGCATTTTAGGTTTGATTTCTCTTTTAGAAATTCCAAATTACGCCGCATATTGGAAAGGCCTGGTTTGGCTCGGAGCCATTCTGATAGATGTCATATTGCTAAACAAGATGGGCCTAGAAGTATGCCTAGATGTTTCCTTTTTTATTTCAAACAAATACAAGCAGTAGATTAACATTTGGCTGACCCTGGCGGCAATTGCTAAATGTAATGTTTAGAGCAATCTAACACCCTGGTACTCTGCGGTCCTCCACAGCGGAACGTTGTTTTCAAGCAGCTTTCCAAGTTTTACAAATCTGGGGTATTTCTACAACAGAAGCCTAACCCATGTACCAGCAGATCGAGAGCACCCAAACCGCATGGTCTGATAACATTATGGGGGTGTTTCTCGACCTGGTTGTGTGGACAACAGCAAAGTGCTCTGTAGCTGGCCGTTTGCTTGCAAGTAGTCGATTAAGAATCATACTTCTGTATCATTTATAAAGTTTCTGCACTGTATTGCCCCAAAACAGCTTTCAATGAGCAGGGAAGCCCACGCCAAAAAGCGTGTAAGCAAGCGATAGAGTCAAGTCACGTGAGAGAGAATGAAATTTTCATGTCTCATAAATGAAATATACATTAGGGACTCTCTCCAGCGACCTCCAGGTTCTGTAGTTTTTGGATCAGAGCTGAACACCTAAATCATGGAGCCACAGCGGCCTGTAACACATAGATGGCGGGTATTGCCTTGCTATGGGCCTGCGATGGTAAACAAATGGAACTAGTTTTGGAGAACTGCTATTGACAGTAAAATTCTAATTTTGCTCCAGCTCCCAGAACAGATGTACCTCAGAGTCCATAGACTGCAATACTTAACTGCAGCTACTCAGCTGTGACCTTCAGCCTCAGGCTCACTGCAATAAAATTTTCATGCAACCATATGGAAGAATATTTTAATAGAGATTTACTGTCAGTAACTGTCCCAAAGGAGCAAATAAGGAAGCTGTAACATATTGCGTACAGTAAATCAAGGGGACTTCAATGGAAAAACGAAACCTCCCTGAGGCAAGCATCTTTAAAATTACAGGCAACACTTTGTACAAATATGTGTACAAAGGACTAGATATGCACTCAGTTAAGCAACTCAAAATGGTTTTGATTTGAAGATATATTTATTAGAACTTATTTATTGTATTTGTAAGTGCTAATGGGGGAGGGGGTCATCTCGCCGGGCTCACCAGCAACTGCTGAGCAAGTTTTTGGCTTCATCGGGCGTGATGCGAAACAGGCAAAAGCAGAGAGCAGGAGGGAATGGGAGCGCCGAGACCATGAGTTCACATGGCAAATTGCATCTCCCAACAACCACAGCTGCAGTGGTGCTCTCTTAGCCACTCTGACCATACTGAAGGATTTTTAGTTGAGAGCAATTAAGCTTTGCAATTGCTGGTTGCTTCCTGAAGCCTGGTGGAACTGTCAGGAAATGAAGGGGAAATTCCTGCTGGAGTGCTCAGTAGGAAGCAGGAAACACAAATGCTGTAGCTTTGGAAGCATGTCAGAGCTGTTCCCTGTTGGCAGTCCTCTGGGGAACTTCATGTGTGTAGACTGAATCTGAGAAGCACAAACGGGCAGAGGTCTGTCCATTTGGATGTGTTAAGAATTCACCTTTTAGGGCTTCATTCTCTTTCCCTTTTTCAGGAATTTCTACAACTGGATAAAGGCAAACTGGAATCTGAATTTCTCCTCTACTCTCACACTGCGCACACACTTGTTTCATTCCTCTAATGAAGCTAATAACATGACAAGGCAATAAATCAGGAGCAAGTAGATTAAATGCTCAGAGAGGTAGGACCGAGTTATCCTTTGTAATATTCGGTACTAAGCATCATGTAAAGAACAGCTTACGTGAAAACTTACAGGTGTATATTGAGCATACTGAATCATGAAGTATGTGATGAAAGACATAGCAAAGCCCAGGAAAAAAAAATAGCCAAGCAGTAGGATGCAGATCTGCCTTTCTGAAGGAAAAGTGGAGTATTGCATATGAGGGACACCTTCAAGCCCCAACAGCGAGATGATTGGCAAATATTAATGTAGTGTGAGGATTTCCCTGGGTTGCCATGGAAACCAGGTAACACACATATACATATACATATGCACATGCAAATTCATGTGGGCTGCCATTAGCAAGCAGTCCAAAAGCATCCTTTATCTGGTTCCTTGGCTCCAATTCAGTGGTGAACTCTGGTTATGAGGAGGCGATCACACCTGTCAAAGGCAAAAGTAGCACAGGGTCCCTGCCTTCTGACTGCCATTGCCTTCAGCTCCTAGTTCACTCTTTGTTGTTTCTGAATGCACGTGAGTGGATAAGACCACTATTGTGGTCACCAACCTCATACTCCAAACTCTCCCTTTTCACATGCATATTTTGGAGAGACGTGGGTGCAAATCTTAGTTTGGATAGGCCTTTCTTTACTCCAAAGTAAAAAAAAAAAAATGTTATTCTTTACTTGGGTACATCTTAGAGGGCAGAGGGCTTGAGGAGCATCCTTTGCTCAGGATGGCAGTGAGGACAAGCAGCTCTTGATGCAGGAGTGCTCTCCAAGCACTCTGTGCCAGGGAGCATTACTGTCTACTGCCTTGGATGGGTGAACAGGAGAAGTAGCAGGGGTGTATCTTGGTGTAAAACTGCAAAGAAAGGAGTTATAAACATGCCATAACTGTGTGCAGTTTTGGTGGTGAGACAAACATTGTAAGAGAGAATGAGGAAAAGCAAAACAAACCAAGGCATTTTCCATTTTGCAAATAAACGAGCTGTGTAAAAGAAACTGCACTTCATCCCCATGTTTTCCTAAATGGAGTCCTGTGCAAGACCCTTCATGTTGACTAAGTGCATGGTCCGAAGTGACCACTGGAAAGGAAAAAGCATGTTAAAACGGTCATTTCAGTATGGGCTCTGAAAGCACTGCTCCTCTCTGCCTGGTGCAATGACTCTGGAGGCTGCTGTTGTATCAGCAGCCTAGTTCCAGAAGAACTTTATGATTTCCAACAGCTATTTCAAAGGAAGGGCAGATTTTAACTTTAGAACATCTCATGCCTACTCTGGATAGCAATTAGAGATGTTTAAAATAAGGCGTTTTTACAAGAAGTGTTTTTAAATTGCTGTTTTCCATCTCTTTATTTGTACTTTGCCAATCATTCATTTCTGTGCTATAAAATAGGTTGGGTAGCAGTTCTGGGTCCCCTCCTTTGCTCCTCACATGTGTCTAATATGTAAGAAGTCCTCACTTTGCCTGAGTCTGAGCATTTCCATTTCACTGAACTCTTGCTGTGCTGTGAAACATCAGCTACAGGCAAAGGTCTGCCAGTATATATTGATTTTGTTTTCATTTATTTGTTGTTTGTGTTATTTGGTGGGGTGTTTTGGTATTAGCCATAGTGTCAGATTTGGACTAACCTAAGGAATCTATAAGGTGTTTTCCCCTTTTGCTTCCATGTACCTGTTTCCCTCTTGAAATGCTCTATTCAAAGAGCGCCCAAATGAGAGGATTATAAAAGTTTTGTTTTGCTGATCCACTGTTGATAGAGGCTTTTGAGGAAAGACAAATCACTGACAGGCTCTGAGCATCACAGAGATTGT